GGGGCCGCGGGCGAGGCGCGGGGGGCGGCGGGGGCCGCCCGGGAGGGAGAGGGGCTCCGTCCCACGCCTCGCACTATTGTTCCTGGCCCGCTGGGAAGGCGGCGAAATGATCCCTGCCCGTCCTGCTCGTCCCGCTGCCGCCGCCTTAACGGCCTTATCCTCCGACCTGGAAAATTCGCACATCGCCAGAAATCCCTCTGCCTGCTCCCCAGCCTCGGAGAAATCAGAAGTCATTAATATTTGAGGAGGCAATAATTTTCCTGTTGAATCTAGAACTGTCTTCATGAATAATTCGTAGCGAGTTCTATTAGGGTTTCAGAAACATTGCGTTTTTGACAACTTCTGGGTGTTTAATAGAAACGGTGGAACCATAAAGGCCCTGCAGGAGTTTTCACAATACAGCAATTAATCACCGGGAAAGTTAAAGCGAAAAGTACAGACGCGCGGAATGATGTTTAATAAACGCAAACCCCCGATCTCGGGTTTGCCCTGAACCTGCCTCTCCGATGTAGGTCAGTTTTCCCAAGAATTTAACCATTTTCTGCTTCAGAGACTTCAAACAGTGAGGCCGTTAAAGAGCAGTAAAAGTTTGTTTACTTAAGAAAAACACTGTCATTAAGGGATGAGCTCTCCCGGTTAATGGCTGTACCTGCGCTGATCCGACAAGGAGATGGCTCGGATGCAAGTTATGTGACCCGGGGATATCCCTTTCTCCTCGAAAAAGGGGGCCGAGAAGGCAGCAGAGGAACACAACTTTGCTATCGCCCCCCCCCGCACACAGACGAGCTATTCATAGAGCGATGGAAAAATAATTAGGTGACGAGTGACGGTCGCTGTAAAATCTCTGTGCTATGTTTAGACGATAGCGGTACGAAATTAGTATACGTTCTGCATATTATATCACGTCGAGTGATATATCATAAAAATGCAACTCCTGGAAGGTCAAGCCCTGCACCGAGCATGGGGGAAGGGGAGTTTTATGAACTGGAAGGCGAAAAAAATCGTTTGGCTGTAAGCATATCTTACAATAGGATTATGTAGTTTCCCTCGCAGTGTGTAAGGCTGTACAGGAGGGGGTGGGAAGTGGAAAACCCTACACTGGAACAGATTAAATTTGCCAAAAAGGGCTTATTTCTTATCTTCTTCAGCGGGGGAAAAAAAAAAAAAAAAAAAAAAATAAAAAAAAAAAAAAAAAGCCAGCGCTACAGCCCGCAAACACCGGCTGCTAAACTAATTAATACAACTTCACAAGCTGCTCCTGGGAGTGTAAAAATTTCTACGTGCAATTTCATTAATTATAAATGCTTTCCTGGCCGGAAGAGTTCAAATACAGTTTTGCAAGATCGTCCATCGAGTTACTTTATTTTCTGTTAACTAGACCTAACAGATGTTTCTGACACA